TCCTGATTTATCAATTCCATATTACTTAAGCTAGGAAGAGAGCATCAGCTCTCAGCAGTGCAATTTTCATCCCTGTGTGTGTGTCTGTGTGTGTGTGTGTGTGTGGTAGGGGGAGGAAGGGAGGAAGGTAGAAGGAGAGAGAGAGAGAGGAGAGGGAGGGAGAGCAAGAGGGAGAGGGAGGGACTGTATATGTATGTTGGTGTCATCTTCCTTTGGAATACAGGGAAGTGTGGGGTTTGAAAGCCCTTCCTTCCAAATACTAAACAATCATAGCCAAGAAAAAAAGAACACACATAAAATATGATGCTGACCTTGAACCCAGTGAGTGTGGCCTTGGGAGGCTGAGCCATGTCCTGTGGTCCCACAGCCAATGTGCACCTGGAAGGGAATGGGGCTGCGACCTTGGGCACCTGTTTTGCCCAGGCCAAGGCTGCCCTTCTCTACCAGTCTTTGGCACTTCCCGGGACAGACTGAGGTGAGTGTGTAGTGTGCAAGGGTCTTGAGCCTCCAACTCCACAAATCATCCTGTTTTAATGTAAATGGCAATTGCCAAGAGTACAGCATGTTTTCCTGTGTCAGCAGCTCAGTGACTAATGTCCCAAGATAAATGGCTTTGCTTTGCCTTGTTTAGAGTGATTCTGTAATCTTTCCCTCCTTTCTGCAGAGGGGACTCCCCAGAACCTTCCCAAGTGCGCTCCAGGGCTGAGGAAGCCTGGGGGTCAGGCTGTGCCGGGGTTGCTCCTTGTGCAGTGAGAGGCAGGGGCAGGTGAGAACCTGGGCTGAACAAGTCTGAAGCAGACTGGCCCTCAGTCCACAGCAAATGACTAGAGAGAAGCTGAGAACAAGCCCTACCTTCCAGCCAGTCTGGAGCTGCGGCTGGAGGGAGGATCCAGAGTGCCCACGACTACTGGGGAGAAACATGGGACCTGGGATAGAAGGCAAAGAAGAATGGGCAGAGGGGTGGGAGAGAATCTCAGGCAGACTCCCTGCCCAGCGCAAAGCCTGACATGGGGCTTGGTCCCACAACCAGGAGATCAGGACCTGAGCTGAAACCAAGAGTCGGACACTTAACCGACTGAGCTGCCCAGGCGCCCCCCACTGCTGGCGGGGGGACATTTTTATTTATTTACTTTTTAACAATTGAAGACTTAGGGTTTGGAAAGAAGAACCGGCTGTGGACCCAGACCCGGATGGCTGGGAATCTCGGTCCTAGCACTTACTGGCTGTGGCATCTTGGATGGTAGTGCTCCCATTTTACAGATGAGAAAACTGAGGCTGAGAGTAGCTAAGCAATTTGCCCAAAGTCCCACGTCTAGCTCATGGCAGCATTCAGACTTAAACCAGGACAGTCTAGCTTCAAAATCAATAGTGTTGAATGAAGGGGCAATTGGGAGAATAGATCTCCCCGGGGCCCTGGTGACTTCTGACCACCCACCTGAAATCCCAGCTCTTCACCCTTCCAGAAATGTGTCCTTGCTTAACCACACTGCAAATGCTGTGATTTATATTTCCACCCTTCTACCTTCTGAACACATTTCCCCGTCCCTTGTGGTTGGTGGACCATGTGATGTGTGTCACTTCCAGGCTGGACTAGTTCACTGTCAGTGTCAAGCCCTCCAGGGCCCTCCCTTTGTCACAGCAGTGGGCGCTAGTCCAAAGAACTACTCCATCAGCCTGGGTCCCACATACGGATGTCATGGACAGGACCCCAACCAACCCACAGTGGACAATGGAGCATGAGTGAGAAATAAGTCTCCAAACTGCGGGAATTTGAGGTTTGTTACTGTGGTATAACTCAGCCCATCCTGACCGGCAGTCTTCTCTTTCTAGGAGGAGGAAGCCGGTGAATTCCTCTAGATGTACTCAGCAGTGTTTAGCGGCAGCAAAGGACAGGGAGCCCCTTTCTATCAGCCACACCATCCTGTTTCAGAGAAGCCAAATGGGGTAAGGAGAAATTAGCCTTAGGGGAGACAAGGATTCCAAAAGCCCTGAGCCAGAGAGCTGTCAGACGGCAGGGTCATCCGGCCCCTCTGAGGTCAGGACGGCTGGGTCAGGGAGGTCTAATTTCACACAACCCAGATCCAGGTGGCTGGAGCCTAGAGCTGTCCAGGCCTCATGCAAGAGAAGGAGCTGACTCACCCCTGGGTCAAGCATCAGCAGGGTCTCTCGAGTGGCAGATGGGCCCAGGGCACCTGTGCCCCATTTACCTGAGCACAGACTCCGTTGTCCAGGCGAGCCCCGTGGACAGTGCACAGGGCCCTCCGTGGGCTTGAGCCCTGGGACGCACACTGGAGCGGCAGGGACTGGGCTGCAGGACACAGGAAGGAGTCTCCTGGAAGTCTGAGCCCTGTGGAGAGCGTGGGCACTAACCCTTCCCTTGGGGTGTCTTCCCCCTCCTCCCACATAAGGCCCCCACCCCCTCTCCATCTCACATTTCTGAGAGACAGCTAGAGGGAAAGCAGTTGGACTATAAATTAGCCCCTCTCGATAACGTGGTTCTGAAGCTGGATTTAAACTGGGAGAGATGCTGGAACCTGGTGCTCAGAGGGGATCCCTGTAGAAGGCGGAGGGGTGGGGGTAGAGAGACTTTCCCCTAAGTAGCAGCTGCCTGACTGGTGTGAGTAGAAGACTGCTTCAGGGCTTAAGTGACCCCCAAACACCCTTCCACTACCTCCCCCTTTCCCTGTGGTCAGGGCTAGCCTTTACTCACTCTGCACCTGACACCTCCTGCCTCCCGGTTCCTCGAAACCACGTCCCTGCCTCCCAAAGCTGCCTGAAAGATCTCATCAGCCTTCTTTCACAATGTACAGAGTTCCTTCCAGAAGATCTCGGAAGTGCTGTGCTGCTTTCTGGAGAAGTGGTGAACAGTGGAGCCCCTTTCTCCCAGCCAAGATTGGCAATTTGGAAGCTGCCTTAGAAGCAAACATTGGTATTACAACCGTCTCTTATTGTATCCTCAGCAGAAATGCAGAGAGGAAACAGCCCAGCATTTGAGATGAGACAAATCTGGGTTTCATTCCCAACTGCCATGGGCCAGGTGTGTGAACGTGGGCCAGGGCCTTCAGTTCTGTAAGCCTCAGCGTCCTCATCTGTAAAATGGTGATAACATCAGCCCCCACACCATGATAGCGCTCATACAAGGGCCCAGCTGGGTGAGAAGACACCGCCCTTAGCACAGGGTCCATCTGCCCTGAAGCACATATAAGTGCTTAATAAGTGATATTTAGGATTTGCGTGCTCTCCTGAGTAGGCCAGAAGCAGAGAGGCTCTAAGAGCATCAGCAAGCAGGCAGCGAATTTGCTTGACTCAAGAGGGCAAGAAGAGGGTTGGGGAAAGGTGCAAGGGGCCTGGGCTACACCCTAGAGCCCTGGTCAGCTGCAGTGCCAAGCACTGAGCACCCTGAGGCCAGAGCCCACAGACAGAAAGGAGGCTCCAGAGCTTGGGTGTCCTCCCAGTCAGCAGCTCTAGAGCCAACCCAGTGCTACCTCGGGCAAGTGTCTGAACGCATTTGTTCAGTGTCCAGAACAGTCCAGAAACCACCCCTGGGAAAAGCTATTCCTTAGCCTTACCCCTAGCCCTCTGCATCAGCACTCTTCTGTTTCTGCTATTACATTTCTGGGTTGCTGTTTTTGACCTTCAAACTGCTTGTGGTTATTTGCAGAGAAGTTGTTGGGCTTCCCCGTCCAGGCCAGTTAGGTTGGTAGCAGGGGCAGTAAGGGTGGCTGGGTCCCATTTAAGAGCGCAGAGCCAACTGGGAAGACACAGGAGAAATGAAGAAGATGGAGCCTTAGGGCTGCTTGAGGAGGATAGGGCCTCTCTTTCCTGAATCTTCCCAAAGGGGAATTTTACCCAGAAGTGTTCCAACACGAACTGTCATTCAGCTTCAGTCTATTTATATATTAATAATTAATATGGGACTCTGGGGTCAAGAGGCCAGCCTCCCAGCTCCATCTCCACATAGAGGAATGACAGATATGTTTGTTTATTTAGTATATATGTATATAACCATGTTAAAGAGAATAAAGAAAGGAAGATATCCACAGGCAAATAATGGAGAAGGAAACCAAAGTGATAAGCAGAAACTGAAGTGCAGTGAAGAACTGGAACAGAGATGAGTAGCTGGTGACAGGCCTGCTGTGCCCAGATGGGGCTCCTGTGTGAGGAGGAGGCTCACCCCGGAGGCTGGATTGACTGCCCACATCGGATTGACTGCCCACAGGATAAACACACACTGTTTATCCCAGACCAGAAATTGAGATGTAGCCCAAGAAAGAAACTGAGCCCTGGTCATGTTCCCTATGTAGGTAGAAAGTTCAGAACTCTTCCATCCACATGGAGACGACACGCAGACAAAGTTGCTCCCAGGAATACCTTGTCCACAACTCCAAAGCACATGGGGCTGGAGCTGAGGCAACCACAAAACCACCCTGTAGGGAAGGGCATGTGACAGAACACCCCCAGGAGAGATGAACCCTCAAACGAGATTATCTACCCAAAGGAGAGAAGTGGGATGTGTCATTGCAAAACATGTAGAGAAAAAAATGAACAAAAAAATGAATTCAACAGAAAGTAGGAATGGAAGGGAAATAAGGAAGCAAAGTAAAACATGGTAAATAGAAACAAAAATGATATTGCAGAAGTAATTTCAAATATATTGATACTCGAAATAAATGAATTTGAGTGGGTGAAACCCTTATTAAAAGACAAATTTTTATGGGGATTCCCCAAGGGGCACATTCAGTTGGGTGTCCAACTCTTGGTTTTGGCTCAGGTTGTGATCTCAGGGTCATGAGGTCAAACCCTGCATCAGGCTCCACGCTCTGCAGAGTCCACTTGAGACTCTCTCTCTCCCCCCCGCACGTGCACACACACACTCTCTTTCTCTCTCAAATAAATGAATGAATCTTTTAAAAAAAGACAAAATTTTTTGTTTTTACCTTTAATTCATATATATGCTATTTATGAAAGAAATATCTAAAATTAAGACAGAAGTGGGCGCCTGGGTGGCTCAGTTGGTTGAGTGACTGCCTTCGGCTCAGGTCATGATCCTGGAGTCCCGGGATCGAGTCCCGTATCGGGCTCCCCCTGCTCGGCAGGGAGTCTGCTTCTCCCTCTGACCCTCTTCCCTCTCGTGCTCTCTCTCTCATTCACTCTCTCTCAAATAGATAAATAAAATCTAAAAAAATAAATAAAATAAAATTAAGACAGAAGTGTGAGCAGTAAGATTATGCAACACACACACCCAATGCTAATCGAAGGGGACTGATGAAATATTAATTAGTAGAAGAAAACCTTAATTTTATGGAAATGACATACGCTTCCCAGTCTTAAAAAGAAGTATCCATTAAAATGGCATAATGGTAATACCTTGTATACAACTAACAGTACAAACTCAAAGCATGTAAGTTGGCAGTACTGAAAGGAGACGTTGACAAATGCACAGAGTGGGCCACTCTCTCGGAAATGAATAGATCACGCAGTCAACAATTGCGCAGAATATAAAATATCTGAATACAAGTATTCGAACAATGAAATTATACATTTGATTAATAGAGCCATATAGTACTTGGCATCCAATAAACAGAAAACACGTATCATTCAAGCATGCATGGGTCATTTGTAATATTCGATCTGAACTGTATGGTAAAACTAGTCTCATCAAATCCCAAAGACTCAATATGAAAAAACCACGTGTCCTGACTGCCACACCATAAAACCCAAAAGAAATCATCAAAAGAGGGCACTCCCAAAAAACCCATATATTTGGAAATAAACAAGCAAAACAATTCCACTGCCAGATAATTTGTAAGTTAAAGGGAAATCATTTAAAAACTTATGAACATTTTAGAACCAAACAAGAATGAGAGCATGGCATATCAAAATTTCTGAAGCTGTCCCTTGAGAGAAATGTCTAAGTCTAAATACGTTTGTTAAAAACCAAGAAACATAAAATAAATAGACTGAGGATTCACTTCAAGAACTTGAAAATAGGATAATGGAGCAAACCAAAAGAGAAGAAAAAAAAAAGGAAATAATAAAGATGAAAGCCAAAAATAATAAAATAAAAATAAAAAAACAAAAATAGAAAGGAACCATGAAATAAATAGTGGTTGTTTGGGGAAAAAAAACCCTCTTATGTGACTGGGAAAAACATAATATGTTATGCTAATATTATTATATTATTATAAAACAATCAAGCAAACATAACTATAGATACAGTTATTTGGGGGTTTCTGGGAGCTACTTCTCTATTCTGATAGCTGGGGCCCTTTTATTGGGGGTTTCTGGGAGCTACTTCTCTATTCTGATAGCTGGGGCCCTGCCATCCCCAGAGACACTGCCTCTCCCCAGAGACACTCCCAGGGCTGGTCAGTGTCTGGAGACAGGAAAGGACTCACCTGCAAGCACCCTTCCTCAGCAAACCAACCAGTCCTGAGCCCATGCCCAACCACCTCCTTTATCCACCTGCCCTAACCACCCCAGGGCCAACTACAAGACAATCAATCAGAGACAGCCCTTTGGCCCCCGGAGTCTGCTGAAATTATCCAAACTAGGCAATCCTAAGCCTGCTTACTCTGCCCATTCCTTTTTACAGAAACCACAATGAAGCCTCTTGCCCATGCTTTCCTCTCACGCCCTCCGCCTCCTGACTGACCCTGGTGCTTCCCCACATGGCCCTGTGCGGTGTGGCAGGCCCCTTCCTCTTGGGAACTGTGAGTCACAAACTATCCTTTCAAAGCAAGTCATCTCCTGATCTGTGGCCTCCCCATACGGGAATAATAACAAAGCCTACATTTCTTTTTTTAAAATTTAAATTAAATTAATTAACATATAATGTATTGTTTGTTTCAGAGGTAGAGGTCAGCGATTCATCAGTCTTATATAATACCCAGTGCTCATTACATCACATGCCCTCCTTAATGTGCATCACCCCATCCCTCCACACCCCCTCCCCTCCAGCAACCCTCAGTTTGTTTCCTATGATTAAGAGTCTCTTATGGCTTGTCTCCCTCTCTGGTTTTGTCTTATTTTATTTTTTCCTCTCTTCCCCGATGATCCTCTGTTTTGTTTCTTAAATTCCATGTATGAGTGAGATCATATGATAATTGTCTTTCTCTGATTGATTTAGCTTAGCATAAATACCCTCTAGTTCCATCCATGTCATTGCAAATGGCAAGATAGTATTTTTTGATGACTCTGTAATATTCCATTGTATATATATATACACCACATCTTCTTTATCCATTCATTTGTCGATGGACATCTAGGCTCTTTCCATAGTTTGGCTATTGTGGACATTGCTGCTATAAACATTGGGGTGCACGTGCCCCTTTGGATCACTACATTTGTATCTTTGGGGTAAATACCCAGCAGTGAAATTGTGGGTTATAGGGTAGCTCTATTTTCATCTTTTTGAGGAACCTCCATACTGTTTTCCAGAGTGGCTGCACCAAAAGCCTACATTTCAAAACAACCTCCCCAGTGCTATTCCAGAAGGAGAAAGAGGAGAAGATGAATCACGTGGGAAATGTGAGAGATGAACAGTATCTTTAATCTTAGGGGTAGAAGGTCCCATGGAGGACCAAGCACTACAGATGTTAAGAGGAACCATGTATAAATCTCCCCTGGTAAAATTTCAGGATGTCAGGGATAAAGTTTCAAATCCTTTAAGTATCTGAGGGGAAAAAATTTACATGTCAGGGTAAAGAGGATTGAACTGGAATCAGTCTTCTCCTTGACAAACCTAAATACAAATGAAATAATGGTAAGTATAATAATATCAACAAAGTTCCAAGAGGAAAAGACTGCATTCAAGACAAGAAAGCTGTGATTTATTTGTGGGGTTAATTAAAAGATATTTTTCAAACATTTAAGCATTCAAATGTTAAATGTAAATGTAAACAAACAATACATTATATGTTAAGCATTCAAACATGCAGAAAAATTTGCTCAAAGTAATATTCCAGCTGAGCAAGAAATGAATAGGAAAATTGTTAGAACTCAAGGTTACTTTATAAAAAATCAATATTAGCACTACTGATGTCCAAATATAATGTCCAAAATATCCAAAATAATTACTGAAAGAGAAGGTACATAAATGTCCAAAGTAATTACTACAAGAGAAAGTATACATACATGTAAGAAATAAATTCATAATACTAATCTTAATGTTTTATGTCAAGAAAAATGGGAGATAAGTAGGGAGGAAATTTTACAAGCATGAAATCATCAGATACAGGGGAAATAAATACATACTATGTTCTTTTTGAGGTTGGTAGGGCGATAGTATATATATGGGATGTATGTGTGTGTGATTGAAGGAACCAGGAGTAGGCTAGAAATGGGGAGTGTGACTTTCTAAGTTCTAAATATAAAGAAACTTGCAAAGCAAACCTGAGCAAATGGCAAAATGAAAAAGGAAAACATAAGGAAGCAAAAAGAGGAGAAAATATTATCATCATATGAGACAAATGATTAAATATCCTGACTCCAGCCTCAGGACTAAAATAACACTGAGACCACCATGCTGGGGACTCCCCCATCTCTTATGGCTGGGTCCACTTTCTTTTCACCATTTGCAGTAATCCACTCCCTCTGTTTTCTAGTTTACCTATAGGAAGATGGCAGTTTACTTATAGGAAGATGGCAATCAAGTGTGTGTCCCCTTAGATCCAGAGAGTGACAAAACTGAGTGAAAATCCTTATCCCAGGTCCCAACATGCAGGGAGGGTTCTGCTTGGCCCCGCCTGCATCAGCTGCCCATCTCTGGAGCAAACACATGTGGTTGGGGACCAGATCTTCAGAACTCCCCACAAAGTGGACTACCTTCCAAGAGAAGGACAGACAATCTATTTGGTGTCCATTACCCAAGGACAAACAAAAAGAAAGCAATATTCGTATCAGACAATGCAGAAATCACAGCAAAAAAGCACTGAACGACCTTAAGGGGTGGGGGGAGTGTATCCTATATTGGCAAATTGTAGAAACTAATGAGAATATAAGAACCATGAATCTGTGCCCTGAATATTGCATTAAATATACAAGGCCAAAAGGGCTAGAAATTAAGGAGTAACTGAACAAAACCACAGTGATAACAGAAGGATTAATATGCCTTACCATTTCTGAGAGACCAAATAGAAATTTCGTGAGAATACAGAAGAGTTCAAACCTATTATTAAAATTTTGATTTAACAGATCTATATCAGAATGTGTTCTCTAGAAACAGAAAATACATATTCATTTCAAATGGCCAAAGAAGAGTTACAAATTTGATCATATCTTAGGCCGCAAAGAAGATCTCATTAAAACCTCAAAAGCAGAAATAGTACTATGCACAAATTCAAACCACAATGCAACAAAAGTAGAAGTTAATAGCAAAAGAGAAACAAAGAAACAAAATGAAGCCACTCTGGAGAGCTGGGAAACTTGTCTTAATAGCCAGAGAGTCAAAGAGAACATTCAAACCGTAATTAATGATTGTTTAAGAAACAATGAGGAGCTATACCAAAGAGAAAACACAAAGCTCTAAAGAACAGAATACACATAGTTTTGTTTTTCTCATTAAACAGAAGAAATTAAATGAAACAAGTATTCAAGACAAAAGCAAGTAAAAGAGCAAAAAAAGTGAAGCTATGAAAAGCTAGAGGAAGAATTTGAAGATAGTAAATAAGAAGGTGATAAATTAAAAATAATTTAAAAAACTATAGATCTGAGAAATTTAAGAGCTGGATCTTTGAAAAGACCATAATTAGGATAATAATAGTGACTAGTGATTGGGCATTCAGCTAATGGCTAAGGATCATGCTAAACACTTTAATATTCACACATTCATCTCAGGATGGCGCCATGTGGTAGGAAGTACAGATATCCCCATTTCATAGACAGGAAAACTGAGGTGTTGGGAGTTAAGTGTTGGGTCCCAGATTGGTCCATGCCCAGAACTCATGCTTTTAGTCATTACACATTTCCTCTAGCAGGACAAATCAAGGAGAAAAGACCTCATGGTCACAGACACACAATACAGTGGAGGAGAAAGGCATACAACCAGTACAGAGGAAAATTTCAAATTAGGAAAAAATACTACACACAAACGGATAGTAAGATAACTGATTTTTTTTCTCCCTCCTCTTTTTTCTATTGGTAAGTTTGTTTATTTGACATAGTTGGGATCATATG